TTCCCTATTACTCATACGAATCTACCTAAAATGGGTAAAAAATTCACAGATTTCGAAATTTATTTACCTATTTATTATACCTCTCTTGCTCTGGGCCCTCAACAGGCTCGCACCCAATTACAGAGTGAGCCGCATAAAGCTTTTTAGAGGTGCATCTGCAGAAGGTCTTGAGTTGTTCTCTCCGGTATTTACCTTACGAATTAGGAAAACTGCAGGAAAACCTAATTCGGTTCGGTTCGGTTCGAACACCCGACCTCCGGATTTATAGTCATGGCAGGATCGCCATGTAACGTTCCAATAAAACATAATTGTTAATTAACTTTATTCCTATAATTACACATCTAACTTAATTTGTCTAGTCTCATTCACACCTCGATTATTACTCCCTACATTCTTCAGTCGTTCCTCAATCAATCACCTGTCCCCCTCCTTAACATAAACTTACATATTCTACAATAATTCTATTCTAGCTTCCACCACAAACGCTCTACCACTGAACTATAAAGCCGGTTAAATCCATGCAACCATACGCGGAGACATTGGAAATGACAGCTATATAACACCATATCTAAAATACAAATAACTCTTATTCAAATGGATCTTAGAGTCCGCTCGCTCGCAAGCTCGCTCGTGTCGCAAACGTCACCTTTCAGACTAATAAGCGTCGTAACATGTTCCTAATACCATCAAAGGAGATGTGCGAGGATTTTAAATTGGAATTTACAAAGCAATTGAGCAGAACCGTATCGACAATATTCGCGACTTTTCCTTCACCTACGGTACGTGCAGCTGAAGAGACAGAAATCTTCGAAGGTGTTGACGATTCGCCACTGTGAAGTTCTTGGATACATTACGACGTTTTATTGCAAGACGTGGGTGACCATCCTCCATTTATAGCGATTAGGAGACTAACCTGGTTGGAGCAAGAAATCTTTTCAAGAAATTAGACTGGAATAAGATGCAGGAACGAGGTTCCGCAATCCGCATACAAAATAGAATGGAGATTCAACCCTTCTTTGAACGGCTAATTCGGCTGTTGCCTGTTAAAGCAATTATTGAGAAAAGTGCTAGGAAGAATTTCGTCATCATTATACGGTGCTGATAGATTGTGAAACTGTCATGCTCGGCCGATACCTGAGAGCTGATGCAAATTCTAAACAAGTATAAATTGTGCACAACTCTTGTACAGATAAAGCGCATTTTTAAACCGAAATAGCTTTTGTTTTGACATCGCCAATGGATATATTTCTTGCAGACATCTCAATAGTCCTTTGTGAGTACCCTCTTTCGACAATCCGTTCTTGAGGTATAAGGGAATGTACCCGATCACGATAAGAGGTCGGGGAAGAGGGCTATGGTTGGTAGAAATTAATTCCTTTCGTTGAGACCTTTAATTAGAGTACCATGAAGGAAAATTAGTTCCACCCCGCCCTCCCCCCTTCGCCCCGTACTTTGATAAGAAGACAGAAAGAAGGGCAGTAGTTGGTAGAAAACGGTTCATTTCGTTGAGACCTTTAAATGATCTAAAGGCATGCGTATGCAAAATCCAAGACCAATTGGTTGTCGTATGTAAAAGTCATGCACGTTTTACTTTCAAAAACAGCATCTCAGGAAATAATTCGTGGGGGGGGGGGGGCTTTTAGACAGCGAAATTTGATGGTCATCTGGCACACCTTCAAGGTATAGGCTACCTACTGCAAAAAATTCCAGGACTCTAGGACTATTCCCCTAGAAGTAGTTCGCAGCGGCAGAAGTGGGTCCGGACGGCAAACACGAGAACATTTTTTTTAATTTTTAAAAAATGCGCTAAAAAGTCACGAGATTGGTGACGATAATCAAAAGAGAGCAGATTGACCTTTAGCAAGAAGTGCCGTGTAGCCATACGCACAGCTACAGGAGAATTATCGTGACTATAACGTATTTGCACGTTAGAACTTAGAAGTAGATTTACTCATCGGCAAAAGAGAGTCTGAAAAAGAGATTTAGTGTTTTACAATTCCTTTGAAAAGAGATTGTGCGACCCATTGAGAGTCTGGAGTCGGACAATAAGTCAGAACCTGCAGAGGTTATAGAAGTAAAAACAAGACTTGGAAGATTGGTGAAGATGTGATATCTTTCATATCGCGCAATATAGGCCAGGAAACCAAACTTAAAATAGTATAAAACCTGGCAATTTTCTTCAGGTAGGTACCTATATCAAAAGTTGTGGGTTCTAGGTGTGCAACTATCACAAATTAACTCTTGCATTCATCACGTTGTTGCCCTAAATCGGTCGAAATCGTTATTTATTCATCAATTTTGTTGGGAAAAAGACCTAACTCGATTATCAAGAAATGATACATGTGTATTTTTGGTGACCAAAATATATTTATACTCAAAGGATGTCAAAATCGTTATTTATGCATCAATTTTCTTGGGAAACTCGATTGCTCTATTCCCAAGTGGCCCATTTATATATTTTTGGTGACAATATATTGTGATCAAAAAATGTCAAAATTGTTACTGACCGTTTTTCCTGAGAAGGTTTTCGCGCTATGAGTGCTTATAAGTTCCAAAAGTGCAACTATCAAAAATTAATGTTACCATCCATCAGTTATTTATACACTATCGTATATCGACTTTAAAAATAGTCTGTCCGTCGGCCTATGTGAGTTTGGTTTAATTGTTCTTACAAAATACAGTTCGCATAATTTGGTACCATAGGTAAGTAACGTTTCATTGCTTTAATAAATAAAAATAACAAGCATATTTTCGAAAGCTTTTCAGTTTTTCATCTTACGCCTAAGAACACGCACCAACTTTTGTTATAATTGGTTTACTGATTTGGCGGGAAATAAATGCACAGGCAGGCGGATTGAGAACCATTGAGATCGGGTCTCTAGGGATCCAATACGAAGATTTCTGTATTGCAGGTGGTAAAAATAATAATTACCTAATGTGATAATATATGGTAGCGAATACTCCAGAAATTAAAATAGACATCGAGGCGACATAAAAGATTAGCCATTGCCGATAAAGAACGTTGGCGGATGTGACGCAATCTTTCATGGAAATATGACGTGTTTGATCTAGAACATTCTGAAGTGTTTGAACGCTCCAGAACGTTTTACTAAGCAAATCGAATTGTGTTTCGAGTGCAGTTCCTATATCGATGTGTTCTTGTTATGTTATAAATTGTGGGTGATAATTTGTAATTACTGTTATAAATTAACCCATCTTAATACTCTTGTAAATTTATTGTTAATTAATTGTAAATAAATAAACGACGTAATTAAATTTACGTTACAGTACAAAAGTAATGTTGTTTGCTATATATAAGCTAATCGAATTGTGGCTAAAGTTCAGTTCCAACTTCGATGCGCTTGTGTTATGTTATAAATTGTAAGTGATAAATTATAATTACTGTTATAAATTAATCTATTTTAAACGAAATTAAATTTACGTTACAATATGTATATCATTTATGCGCCCACAAACTGGGAAAGACAACCACGGAAACACACAATGAACCTAACTCATTTAAAAATGGAAAACCCACTATTAGATCCATCTTTCAACCTAAAACATTTTTTTAATTAATATCGCGACTTAGATTGGTTGGAGCTTTCTATTTCTCCTTTTGTTACATTTTTTATTAAATGTTTGATAAGATTAGCGTGCTACATTGTGTTATATTAAGCAATTATCAAGAGCGCGAAAAGTGGGTGCCAAGGGTGTGCTAAAGCATGCAAAAGGTGCATGGTCACATGGAGTTAAAGTGAATTAAGTGTAAAATTTTGATCATTTTCCCACATTTTTTTTTTATTAATAAAAAATATCTTTTTTATATCGTTCACCCTGTAGATGCCTTAAATGTAATATTGTTCAAAAATCAAAATATACGCGTAAGTCCTACTTACCTATACTGTTAAACATTGATTTTTATTTGTGTAGATCTTTACTAGTGGAAGGGTCGAGTTCTCCATGTGGGAAAGTATTTGCCTCCCCCTTCCCCTGGTCCCCAATTCTACGGGGCTAGTGGAAGTTTGAAACAAGGAATGTCAGATGTATCACGAAATTAGAGACCTACCAACTTTACAGGAAGTGTCGTCGATGCAAAGACCGAGGATCTGATGGCTGCAAAAAATATTGTGCTCCTACTTCTACTCAATCAGGCGTCGATTTGTGGAAAAATTTATTTGATTAGACACATACATTCTATATAAATACTATAAATTGCCTCATCCCTTAGGGTGTACAAGGGGCAGTTGAATGCTTTAAATGGAATACGGTTCGGCGATATTGAAAAAAAGTTCATATGAAAAATTTTAGCTTTTGATTTGCATGAAAAGAAGTCATTTAGAAATAATAAATTAGTAACGATTGTAATTTCAGGTTTGATTGAAATTTGTGTAAGACAATACCTACGGTGGAAACGGTGGGTATATATGACCGGTTATACATAAAAGAACGATCGAAAGTAATTAAATTAGTGGGTTGCACAAAGGGGTAATGACAGATGGTGTATATAGCCCCAAAGTGGATGGAGATCGTTTTAACCGGGTACTTTTTTAATTGTTCGTTTTTATTATGCAGGTACTAACCGCTTCGCCACGCTATCGAATTAATTGTTTATTAAGCTGTCAAAGTTTGCGACCGAAGTTTTGGCGAAATAATAGATAAAGGTGGGTCGATTACATTTATATTAAGTAGAGAGGAGCGAGCGCGTAATTAGAAATTAATGGTGAACGGTCAGTGCTGGCGCAAATTTCTCCAGGTGACCACGCTGGTGATTATTTTAAAGAGGCGAGTCGATACCTAGTGATATTTGAAACGATACCCAATCAAAGGCCACTGATTTGTCACCTGTCCTCTTCGTCGGTAACCAAGTCCAACCTCCTAGTTTAATGTTCTTGAGCATGAAATTCTACTGGTAATGTTTTCGCGCAATCGCGTATACCGGACCGCCTATCTTGCGACTTGATAAATTCAGCAGGAATTCGAAGAGCGGCGTTACGAGAGCTTCGCGCGAGATGTAATGCTCAGAACTTTGGGACGCCGTCACCAGGTGAGGACGTCGAAACGAGAGATCTCGAACTTCGCCGATCTTTCTACGAGAGACGGAACGACCAGGATCTGCAACCCGCACTTCGACAGTACAGTTTCACGAGTCATAAGCGTGTGTTTTCCACGTACGTTTGTAATGTACATAAATGAATTCGGCGCGTAACACGTTCATATTCTAATTGGATTTTCGCTTTAAATGTGAGTAAGTTATGAACTGTGGTGGAAGGAAAAACCGGCGCGAAGATATTTTTAAGGGCAATTTCTGTTATTTTAAGTGTGCCGGTCAAACATGTTGGGTAGTCTACTGAATATGTGTTGAAATTTGCCGCATTTCGTCTGTTATTATTACTCAGAGGTTGAACTGAAGTGCTGGCTACGGACAAGGAACCACTGTGACTGTCCAAGGCTAACAAGAACTTGTGTAGTGTCTTTAAAACTTTGTGGAACAAAGAGGTCGGAACCTTTCTCCTCAGGGGGTTGGCCGAACGGTCAGCTTTGTTTCTGTCGGGTCAATACAGAAATTAACGAAAAAGTGAGTATTATGTTGTTTTTAAATGTTGTCGTAGTCTGGCCCTTGTCGCGACTCATTCAAGTCGCGCTCGATCGATATCATCCCTTGATTGAATGAGACCGCGGCCACATGGGACCGTTATCACTTTGGACGTTTTTGCTGATTGCACGCATGTTTGTTTACGGTTCCCACCACGCCGCGCGTTTCCGCTTTTTACGATATGAATACGCTACTTTCGAGCCGATTTTCTATTGCGACCCCAACCGAAACGAAAACGCCGGTTGTATATAGAGCCCGTTCCATTAAATCTCTTACAATATTTCTTCGTAAATTGCCGAACCTTTTACTTTAAAACCGTAACGCTCGAGGGCAATAGGCAAACTTTTAACCAGGCAAGTTCAGTTCACAATGGCACAACGCAACCTGTAGCACGGCACGGCACGATCGGCGTGTGCTAAGGAATGCCACAGCTAAGCCTTAGTTTTTATGTAACGCGCCGGGGTTTATTTATAACGCCATTCGCTCGACTTGGTGGTCACAAATACGACGATGACGTCACCTGTCTCTAGCTCTAATTAATTTCTTCCCACTTATTAACATAATACCATCCCTTCTCCCTCAAAGTTAAAAAGGTAACTTTTAAAGTGGCCATTAGAAGGGAAATAATGTAAAAATAAAACCCATTTGTATATTTCAAGATGTAAATTTGAATCCCAAAAAATTTACAATTCTGAAAAGTTGAGCAGATAGGGATCTTTGAGAGACAAGTCGTCATATATTCCAGTCTCGACATTCTTTTTATGTAATTTTAAGCCGACAATAGCGAGTTTCGCCGTTGGATATCAACTATGAACTGTGCAGTTATGATGGCGAATTAATTTAAAGTATCGTACACGTGTTCGACGAATTTTTTCTAGCGTTCTTTATTTGGTCCACTGCTTTATAAGAATTCAACCTGTGGATTTCACCTAAAGATAGAGATGGAGAAGGTTAAACCAAAACCTGTTTCCCACTACCTACCTCTTGTAATTCGAGACTGCAACAGATTCATTGTCACCGACGACGACGACGGCGAGTAAAAATAACGTTAAAATTTGTAGCGATCGAGCTAGCGCGAATGTAACTAATATTAGGAAGAAATTCCTCATTCTACCAATTAGTTTCCATTCTAGAGGGAATTGTGATGAAACGTAATATAAAACAGACATATGAGCAATTTAATAAAACTCATCCCAATTTAATCTACTTTGATGACTGTCATAGACCGAGAACGGAATTAGAAATTTAATTAACAACTGTGAAGAATTTACACTGCACACACATTACGTTTTAATTGAATTAAATTTTCAGTTATCTCTAAGAAACAACTGTAATTACGTTGAAATTCGAGGCGATGCTCAATGTTTGGTAACCGAATTGTGTTCATAAATTCGATGACTAAGAACGGTTATCTCTTCAATTTATTTAACGACATTTTATCTCGCTCGATTTTAAGTTGCACATGGGACTCGCGAGTTTATACTTGGCTTGGGATAAGAATGCAGCGTTTTCAAATATACGCCCAGAGGCTAAATGGAGTAATTGTTTTCTATCTTTTGTAACTTCAATTCGATATTCAATAATTGAAGTCGGAAAACTATAAAGCGTTTCTTTCCCGCAAGTGGCGACCATAAGAAAACAAACTTTATCCCTCCCCTCTTTCAGTCTGTACAATGTAAGTTTCTACTACAATGTCTAGTGAGTTTAACCCCTTCACTCGCTCCCGGAAATTAAACAAAAATTAATGTAGGTATATGCTACAGTTTAGGTGATCTGATTCTTCCTCGGGTTCTTCTCTCAGCTAGTTCCACCGAGAGCTAAACCGTTGCAAGAAATTTGTACTTCTACTTTGTCAAATAATGTATCCACTTATTTACTTCCATCCATACTTCCACGATTATTTTGTATATATTCATGAAATGAATGTATTGAAATGTATATTCATCGATTTGAAAAAATAAGTAAGTTAAATTTACAGGGTGTCCCATTTTCGACACTTTTATAGAGTATTTCTGTAATTTTTAATGCAAATTAGACGTCATGTGCTCTTTTTGGGTCAAACTTAAAATAGCACGATCAAAATTTAAAAATATTCGCTCGCTTAAGAGAGACGATGGAAAATCAAAAAAATTGTCAATTTCAGAATGACCGTGTATTTTCTTAGCAGGGTTCGCCTGAATGGACTCAGTGGAAAACTCAATGTTTTTTCGGGTTGGACCCACTTGAAATAACCCATTGGGTTTTTCACGAGGGGTTAGTCGGTGTGGTATTCTTTCGTACACATGACTGGTAGTCACTGGTATTCCCGTGGTAGTCTTTGGTATTCCTGTGGTAGTCTATGGTAGTCTGTGGTAGTCACTGGTATTCCGAAGGTAATCAGTGGTATTCTCTGGCATTCCCGTGGTATTCAGTGGTAATCGCTGGTTTTCTGGTGGTAGTCTTTGGTATTCCTATGAGCATTTACTAACTGATTTATTATTTTCCATTTTGCTTGTAGGTAGGTATTTCCGGCATAAACTATGGTTTTTATGATTTTGTCTATCAAATCGCATACTTTTTAAATTAATTGAATTGATTGTTGCAGTGCTGGTGATTGAAGGTGACGATTCTGTTTTAAAGATGGTAGCGATTCAATCAGTAACAATGATTTGTCTTGTGTGTTTAAAAACAGGCCAAGGTCGAGGCCAAGGTTTCCATGATAATCACATATATCTTAGATCTGGATCTAGACCCTTTTTAGAAGAATATCTTGTATCTAGATCTAGATTATATTATAATAGATTTTCCACTAGTAGATCCAAAGATCAATTTTAATTTATTTATGTTATAAATGTTTTTAACATTGGCGGAGTAAATCGTTTCTATATTTAAAGAATAAATATGATCCATTCAAGTTTTAGGGATTTACCAGCCTTTTAAGAGTAGACAGGTTTAAGCAGAAAGTCAATAGTCATTAGCATAACGGGTAGTTTAGCTTAGGGGGTAGTATCGGTAATTATTTACAGTACAGGGTGAGTCAACGATTGCGCGGAGGCATTAAGCCTTGGAGATAAGATTTTTCGATAGAATACTTTTGCATTATGATATGGTTGAATATTCTCCACATTTTAAAAATATTTTGAATTATACAGGGTGCACCCACTACCCACAAAGTAGGGCGCCCAAATGGTACATTTTTTTTAATAGAATCCCCTGCATTTTTGAATTCTACGTGTCTTTTTTATTATATGGTTAATATCCGAAAAGCTACAGGGGATTCTATTTAAAACAAGTTGTAAATCAGCATATGCATGATTAAAGCGCATTTTTGGTAATGCAGGTCAGTATTTTATTAGCGAAGTTTAAAATTATCGATCTCAGGAGTAATTTTGGCTGCGTTAAATAATTTATTTTATTTAATTTCAATTGAGGGTACGTCTTCATTTTGTAAAACAAATCACAAAGTAAATAATAAGTTTTTATACTGGTAGCGCTATCTAACGGTAAAATTATAGCACCTCCGAAACCATATCGAAATTATTTTCTTCAATTATCGATCTCACAAGTAATCTAACTCAAAATAGACTAGTGCCTGCACATCTACACTATAGCAGAAAGCTTTTAGTGAAAATTTGAATTCTCTAGCTATTGTAGTTGTGGAGATATCACGCGGACAGCCGGCCTGCCAGCCATAACGAATATAATAGCGTATTTTTTTCAAAAATGCGCTAAAAATGTACCATTTGGGCGCCCTACTTTGTGGGTGCACCGAGGGGTGCATCCTGTATAATTCCAAATATTTTTAAAATATGGAGAATATTCAACCACATCATAATGCAAAAGTATTCTATCGAAAAATCTTATCTTCAAAGCATTAAGTTACTCCGTGCAATCGTTGACTCACCCCTCGATTCACCCTGTACAACTGATTCATGGGCCTGCCGCCGCCGGTTTACCCGAATTATCCGAGAAACACGTTATTGTTATGTAGGTACGCACACCACTTTGCCTTAAGTAGTAATTCAGATTTAGGCGGTTATTATAATTTTCAAAGAAGGACTTTTTCACAAGAGTTTACGCATCATTTTTCTTGCTGTTTTGCGAATTTTGCATAGATAAAAGTAAACCCTGAAGGGGTTACACAGAATGAGATAAGTACCTAAGCATTTTCCGAATAATGAATCAAATCCACCGATGTAAATCAGATTTACCTATGAACGATCTACTCGTATAAAGGATCTAGATCATTTTAGGACTATCTCTAGTCTATCTAGGTGCGGATCTTTGATCTGGATCTAGATCATGATTTTAAATGCATCTGGAGGTGTATCTAGATCTAGAATTAAAGGATGTTACCCAACACCGGTCGCAGTCCAGGTACAACTCCTTATCTCGCTGTCACCTGTGTGGTAGTCTTGAGTAGTCACTGGTATTCATGTGGTAGTCTCTGGTATTCATTGGTAGTCTGTGGTATTCATGTGGTAGTCACTGGTATTCATGTGGTAGTCTCTGGTATTCATTGGTAGTCTGTGGTATTCATGTGGTAGTCACTGGTATTCATTGGTAGTCTCTGGTATTTATATGGTAGTCTCTGGTATTCATGGGGTAGTCACTGGTAGTCCTATGGTAGTCTGTGGTAGTCTTTCGCAACTGGTAGTCTTTCGTACAACATTTTGCTCATGTATTACCCCCTCGGTTTTTCATTTTGAAATAATTAACAAGTTTTTTTGACTTGGGCTGGTTTGAAATAAATTTATATGGCAAAAGTAGGTATATTTCAAATTATACACGAATCACTTTTAATTTTTAAAATACAAAGATAAAACATAGATACTTTCATTTGAGTTCGTTTAGTTCTTATTAGTTAACAATTCAAAACAGTTCAAAATTTGCATTCTTATTCTTACCCATACTAAAATGTAAAAGTGAACCACCACAACACAACCACAATATTGCGGCGCCTTTTTTTTTCATACTGTCGAATTGTTTAATTCCGATCGAAA